ATGTAATTAACTTGGGCAATCCTTAGGGATAACCATAGATTTTGCCAATAAGGGGGTGTTTGACACCCATTTTTGTGTAGAATAAATTCTGGAATAGTGATTGATGAGAAGAATGTATGGTTAAAAAATAAGAATAATTTTTGAATTTGTAATATTATTTTATTGATAAAATGTGTGGTTGAAATGAAGAAAGAGAAAAAAAATGAGAAAGAGAATGAGAAGAGAATGAATGTCAAACAAGGGCTTAATCTCATAGTTCAATTCAAGTATAGGGTATTGAAGTTTGCTTTAATTTCTGTCAGTGTTGCTGTAATTGTGGTTTTGAGGATTAGAATCCAGCTCAACTATAACAATATGCCTGATTGTTTTTTGAGGAAATTACACCTAGACTTCGAATTAGATTTCCAATTTCACAAATAAGGTCACACGTTTAATATTTCAAAAATCAGGTATTAATTAATAATTTAAAACCATTTTTTATTTTTATATCTATATACAATAAAATAATTTGACCCAAACAAACCCTAAATCATTTGAACCAATTCTTCCCCTCCACCTTCTCTTCTCCCACCGCCTCCATTTTTCTCCACTCTCTCCACAACGCCACCTCCTCCAACCACCACGGAAAAGGTGTACCAACGGTGCCAACTTCAAACCCACGCAATCGCTGGTTACCATGTCTTCTTCCGAACCGTCGGAACCGCTGTCCCTAACCTCCATTGGTCTCTACAATACCGTCGTCTCCTCCCTCTTCCTCTCCCTCTCCCTGCTACCGCAATCGCCACCATCTCATCCCCTCATTCCTCCTTCCCTCCCTCCCCCCACTCTAAACTCATCCCCAAAACCAGGTTTATAGTCGATGGTTTCAAACACTCCGATTCCAATTTCTCCGTTTCATACTTTCTCTCCCACTTCCACTCTGACCATTACACAGGCCTAAAGCCGCAATGGTCCAAAGGCATCATCTATTGCTCCTCCATCACTGCTCGCCTCACCTACCAAATCCTCAAAATCCCACAACCCTTCATTAATTGTTTGGGATTAAGGTTATTAATTGGGGATTTCGGCTTGGTGGTGGTTAGCAAATTCTGGTGGTGTTTGTAATTGGGTAGTGGTGATTGTAATGTGCAGTGGCGAGGCAGTGGTGATGTTGGCGATACTGGTAAGATTGGTGGTTGTGGTGCGATGGTAGTGGTGGTGCCACGATGGTTACCTGAGACTTATTATTTGGTTATCTGTGCGCTGCAAAGTGTGGATCTAAAGTTGGTGGCGGCAGTGATTGTGTGTTATGTGTGTGATTTGTGTGTTTGCTTTGGCTATGCGTGTGGCGATGGGGGTCTTGGGGTGGTGATAGTGTTGTTGGTTTTGAGATGTTGATGGTAACGCTGGTGTAGGAGGTGGCGAAGCACAAATGATTTTGGTGGTGGTCACAAATAATTTGGTTGTTTGTGACAAATAATTTGGCTTGTTGGCGATCAATAAACGATGCGTGACCAATGAATTAGATAAAATGTGATCAATACATGATGTGTGACCTAAAAATTATTAATTTGACACCAATAATTTGATAAATGTTTACCTAAATATAATTTATGTTTAATTAATGTGATGTTTGTGATCATAAATAAATATTGTTACTTATAAATTTTGTAATTTGTGACCGATGAACAAATTGTGACTTTTAAAATTTTAATTTGTAACCGATGAACGAATAACCTATAATTTGAATTGTAACCTTAAAATTTTTGAATTGTGACAAAATTACATAGATCT